TGAGATTCCAGCACACCTCCACACATACCCTGTGTTTCATGCTTCAAAACTGCTGCCGTGTGTCACAAGTCAACAGTTCCCTTCGAGAAGATCCATGATCCCCCCGGATATGGATGGAGACATTGAAGACATTGTAGATGAGGATGTGTTCAGAACAGGAGGTAGAGGTCGTCCCCAGAAACAATATATGGTCCGTTTTGCCTATCAGGAACAGGAAGACGACCGCTGGTTCACAAAAACAGAACTTCTAGAAACCGCTCCCGACATAGTCAGAGCCTATGAATGTGACAAGAAAGGTAAAGGTCCCACCTTGGACTGAAATGTTCTCGGAGGACCTCAAATTTAGGACGGTGGGAGTGAAACGGTTTTCACCTTTTAGCAGTAGCGGATGCAGTACCCAGGGTTCGATCCCTAGACCTCACCCTACCTATGTACAGTATCTGTATAGATCCCGAGCATTGAACCTGTGACCTGTGTATTCGCAGACAGTTGGTAGGTCTGTCGTAGGTCCATAGGCAGCAGGGGTTCGATCTGTAGGTCTATAGCGTAGAAGTCTTAGTGAGTTCCGGAAGCTTAGCTGTAGACCTTCTAGAAGGTAGGCAAGTGGGCAAGTGGTCAAGTGGCGAGGCAAGTGGTGGACTAAACCGCAGTGCAACAGCAGTACAACGTCGGTAGGATAGCGGTGAGTCCACAGTCAGTCAGCGGAAGGTCCAGTCAGTCCCAGTCCGGTCCAGCAAGTACCACGGGGGGGCTGTGAGCACCAAGGGCCGATGGCAAAGGGCAGACCAACGAGTTTCTGAAGTATAAATCAAGAGGCAGCGCCCAACCATTATTCATTCCTGCGGGAGCCATGCGGAAGCGCTGCCACAGCGACTTGTGCAAGCAGGTATGCAGATGAGCCCGGAGGACGCAGTGGGCAAGAGAGAGGGAGTTAGCATAGCGATAGGTTAGATGCAGTGATAGCTGCCATAGCTATAGTTAGTAGTGAGTGTTAGAGTGATGCGTGTGGGATATCCAGGGTGATCCAGTGTATGTGAACAGTGAGATGTTTGGGCGCTGAAGTCGCCAWAGCCAATTGAGAGTGAACTCGCATCTGAAAGCCATATCTCTGAGATTTGAGTGGGCGCATGTCACCAGTATGCTGCGTTGCTGTTTACATGCATGAAAAGTGTGTTTGAGAACGAGTCTGATTGCACTGAAAGAGATGCGACATGTTTTTTTCGTCGTCCTTCGCCGCAGCTGCGTTGTGGCGGGTCCACTTGTTTTGTGAAATAGAGTAGAGATGCGATTTTCAGAAAAGTTAAATCCAGTTTCTGAGAATATGACAACCTCCTAATATGCCTAAAACGAAATGCTGATAGGCTTCGCAAGATTTTGGTTTTCAAAAAAAAAATTGCGGGATAGAATGGAGATTCGATTTTCAGAACAGAATGAATCCAGTTTCCCAGAATATGACCACCTCTATCGTAATCCTAATATGCCTAGAAAACGAAATGCTAACATCAGAAATTTTCGGCTATGTATGCAAATATCAGAAATTCCGGATGCTAATATCAGAGAAACTAAATGCTACTTTGAACTTCCAGAAATTTTCAGATACTTGCTGTGTGAAAAAGAAATGCTAATATCAGAAATTTTCAGATAAAACGAAATGCTATTATCAAGAATTTTCAGATATTTGTTGCGAGAAAACGAACTGCTAATATCAGAAATTTTCAGATAAAACGAAATGCTATTATCCAGAATTTTCAGATATTTGTTGCGAGAAAGAAAGAAAAAATTTCCAGAGATTTGACAAAGTCCTACTTGATCTACTAATAAACCATCAATAGATCAAGCACGCTGGCTACTTGATTGAGCGGGTCCTCTGATTGAGAGGTCCGATCCGATACCAAACTGTTGCA